ACTGATATAGGTTTTCAAATTCTATTATGCCATTCCAGTGCATAAAAATCAAATCTCAACATTCTTACTGACTAAATATTGGCAGTACTGTCTGTATGCAGATGCTCGAAGGAGGTCTGGAATAGATTATCAACTAAATTTTAGAAATAAATAGAGCATGCACCATTGATATTTCATATAAACTGAATGTTTTATATGGGCATGTTGAACAACGGAAACTTCTCTAGCTATAGAAGTCAAGGTGGGAAAACGTCTTCCTTTATCTAGTCATTAGGACTACTAATTCACCTGTATGTGCTGAAACACTGTCTTAAACACTATCATACTTTCTTTCAGCTGAAAAGTGGTAACAGCAAACTCCTTTTTCTGAAATGCGGCAGAAGTTTTTTCTTGGAATAGGGATAACAGCAACATCCCACTTGCTTTTGAAGAGGAGAGGGTATAGTAAATCTGAGTTCATTGCATGCCATTTGTGTGCAATACTTGATTAGCAAATTGAGCCACCAACATCTTTTTGCTCTCCCAGGGCTGTGATTGTTAGGATGGTACCCTCAGAGCAGTGGATTTCAGGAAATTTCATGTAAAATAAGTCTAATTTCTAAGAGCTATTTCAAGCTGTTGGCAGGCTTCATTATGTGTGCTTCAATCAAGTTTTAAGTTGCTTTTTTTCCTTTAAAAACATTTCAGTGAAGCTCTACTTTTAAATTCAGCACCAGACTTGTGCTCTTTTGTTCTGCCTGCAGGTTATTAAAATTTACCTATCGCTACCTCACCAAATGTAATACATTTGTTTTTACTAGTGAATACATGCCTAGACTTGCTGGGAAGTTTGACTGCTTCAACAAATTCAGTCTTGCACTCTTGATTATATATACCCTCTCGATTAGTACTAACATCAGCTGAAACAGTCATATTTGGTAGAGCTTGGTATACTGTCTACAAATAACCAAATGATCTGTGATGCAATACAGAGTGAAATTTTGAGGCATATTTTAAGCTTCAGTGAAGTTGAATGACAGATGGATTTGTACTGCATGTTTTTTGGTATTTGAGCCTGACTTTTATCCTTTGAATCCACATATTCTAATCCCAAAAACTGAATTGCTGTAAGTGTTGGATGGGGGTGGTAAAAAAAAAAAAACAAACCAAAAACAACACCCTGATGTCCCCAAAAAATAACTGTATTGTTGGTTACAGAATGGTAGCTATCAGGCTTTCTTGCTTACATGTGATGTTCTTCATGCTGTGTTTATTGTATCTCCATCAACTCAGCACAATTTGTAGCTTGACTCTTGCAATATGTGATAAAACTCTGTGCAAGTTGTTCTTGCATAACTTTGGATGTGTGTCATGACTAATAATTAAGAATTGAGTTAACTTTAAATGTTTAAGGTAAGGTGTTTAATGAACATAGCGAATACAGGAAAATATTTTTTCATTAATATAAAAATATTTCAGTAACCTTTAGCTTAAAGAAAATATAAACACCTTATATTCTAAATATTTTAATTGTACAATAGGATGTCGATTAAGTTTTAAACTAGATTAGAGTTGCTTTTTTAATTATTTCAAATTCTTAAGCTTATTTTGGGTATAGTTTCTCTATCCTTTATAACACTTTTGAAACTAGTGTAAAGTTGATGACATGCACTTAATGAGCTAAACTGTATATTTTTACATTTATAGTCATATTTTACAGTAAATGTTTTAACTACAGAGTAGATTAATGCTTTTAAAAGATTAGAGTTGTTGAGAGTCGGGTGGCTAGTTCTCCCTGTTAATAGCCTGAGAAAGAAGGGCAGACTTACCTGACAGAGAAATCGCAGTTTGGGAGTGATGGATGACTGGGAAAACTTGGTCTTTTTAACACTTGAAGGGAATTCTGAGGTTTAAGTAAAACTACGTATGTACAGACATATTAAGTCAGAAGGAAAAATCATTTCTTTAAATGGGGTATTTTTTATAAAAAGACTATGGGTGTGTTCACCTGCCCAACTGCAGTTGTTATGAAGAGATAGTTAAGTTTCATCCCGATGATAAAAAGCTAGACTGTTAACTTATGTGAATGAAAACAGTGTCTGTTGAAAGTGGCATAAATTGACTGAATTTTGTGTGTGATGGCCTGTAACAGGAGATTTCTAGGAATGTGTTCTTTCTGTTTAAATCAGATTTTGAGTTGGAAGAAAAATACACTTCAGATTTGACACATACCTGTAAGATTCAAGCATACTTGTGTTAAGAAGAAAAGTAGACTTGCATAATACAAAGTCTTTAATCAGAAAAAATGGCTGGAGACCTCTTATTCAACAAATCCTTCCTGTTATCTACAGCAACTTTTATTTTGTGACTGTTCCTTGCTTTTTCATTTTCCTGATATTTGTACTGTAGCACCTGTTCAGCTCAAATTTACCTGAATTCACCTGTGCTGTTGTAATAGAATTATCAGCTAAAAAACATTCTGTATTGTAATTATCTACTGTGTGCTTTACCTTTCAACACCCTCTGTATAATCCAATAGACCTCCAAATGGAAGTGAGGGCAGAATTTGTCTTGCAGAGTCTATAGCATTTGTGATAAATTGGTAGAAATGTAGAAAGCTTCACCCTGAAATTGTAAGCTGATGTGAGGCTGTAAACTGAGGAAGTTTGACCTGTAACCATTGATTCCATTAAATACAGATATACTGAAAAAAATTATTTAATATGTTGTAGTTAAACCAAATATTTTGATTTATTTTTGCTATGAGACTAAGTTCCCCGCTTCCAAGACCAAGAAGTGGAGATGAACATGCAGAACCAGATATAATAGTGTTCTTCAATACTGTAGATTTCTGGTAGCTTCTGCTATATGGGTGTTTTGACAAATGTGGATCTAGACGTTGACGTTCAACAAGGAAATGTTTTCATGTTGTGAGTAAATGGGAAATCTGAAATTTTCCAAAGAAAGATCAGAAATAATACTTTATATTACAGTTTTAGCTATAAGTATATTGAACCTTAGTTTATATAATCTGTCATTCCTTTTTGGTGTTGCTATTATGCTTTTCTCTATATATTTGTGAAGTGGTGAGGCTCATCCTATGTGGCATCCATGAACTGACATCTCAGAGATGATGTAGAAGTATGGTAACTGACTATAGTAGCTCTGACAGCTGCTCAAAATGGTAGAGTCTACAGTCTTTCAAAAGAGAGGGCTAACTTCAGCAGAAAAATCTGAGACTGACGCTTTAAAAGTTAATGTGTAACTTTCTGAAAGATATGAAAAAAGATTTCTACATTATTTTAGAACTTTATTAGAATAATTTATTAGTATTATTGAAAGCCTTTATACCTTGCAAATGAACACTTCATAAATATTTTTTATGTGAGCATTCTCATTTTTCTGGGATTTCATGTGATCTAAAAGCTTTCAAGACAGAAGAATGGGGAAACATTATTTTGCTAGTCTTGCGGGTGTTTTCTTTTACTTCTGTCAATAATTAAAGCTAATACCAAATGGCCATTTGCAGGTGAAGCAATCTACAATCAAATCTCAGTTTGCATGTACATATAAAAATGATCTGAGTGAAATACAGAGTCACCATTTCCTCAGCAGTAACGAAATTCCAACGTGCGTACATCCTGCACCAAAGCAACATTTAAAACCTGGATGTCTCACAGGTAAGCTGTAGTAGGATTGAATAGGTAAATGTGACAGCTGATATTTCAAATCTAATCAAACAAAGCTTGTGTAAAACTAATGTATAAATGTGTTTTACTTTATGTGCTATGGTCAGTTAAATATCTTTGCATTAAGATTGTAACGCCAACATTCTGAAAATATAAATCTCTTTGAAAAAGATTTATTGATTCTTCTTGATGTAAAAAAATTAATACATTTTACATACATTACATAATGTTTTCTTATTTTCTGAAAGTAAGCAGAAGGAAATTTGTATTTTTGCCATTCAAAAAAGGGAAAAGTTTGGTTTACTCCACTATAACACATTATAACACTATAATTTCTAGGCCCTTTAAGCTAAGAATCTTTTCCAGTATCCAAAGGTATAAATCCACATCCCTAAATTAGTTGCTATTACATGTTTTTGAGCAATGCCATTTTTAATTGTCAATACACTTTGGAACACATAGGAAATGTAACCAAAATGACCAGCATAGTTTTGTTTTATTGATAAAGCACTAGTTTTGATTAAAAAAAAAAAAAAAAAAAATCACATGACAGTCCTCTGATAGAAAAAGGATGAGTAATCCCAGGTAACTTTTTATTTCTTCACATATATTTTTTTGATATTCTTACATGACAGAAGGTATGAATTCATGTCTTGATGTACCAGTGCTTGGAACTATTTCTGAAAATGTTCACCAGACAAGAAGTTATACAGAAACGGGGAAGCTGAGTTGCCAGCCAAGAAACAAGAACTCCAAGAATGAACAGATGGATTTGAATAATGACAAAGTAATCTGTGATAAGGAAAGTGAACCATCTTTGCAAAAAACTGCTAAAAGACCTAAGACTTCAAATAACTCTCCAAAGGAATTGGACCGCAAAAACGATGGAAAAAGGAAACGCAGCAAAACTGAAAGCAAGAAAAAATTGATTGCTGGTCAAGCAAAATTAACTACCTTTTTTCGACTATGAGATTTTGTTTTCATATACATGGGACGCTTACTGGTTCAGAAGCTGTGAAGTTCTGTGAGAAAATGGTAAAATCCATTAATTGCTTCCTTTCATACTCAAATAAGTGGAAGTAGCTTGTGTGTAATAGTACACAAATGCAAGTCTGGATTATGCAGAGGTCTTTTATTTTTTGATAACAATACATCATTAGTAACTACAGCTATGTCCTTTCTAGTAATGAGTTATGTTTCCCTCTACAATGCAATGCGAAAGTATTTTTGGATGCATATGTATAGCCACACCAAAACACAGTAACTTCAAATTACATTGAATTCATAATAAAATCTTTAATCTCCAAACAAGGTGGTGTAGATCGTTAGTTTTCAGACTTGCCAACAAGGTCGATAGACTCTTCCCAGCATACACCTGAGCACTACAGGGGAAAAAAAAAAAAAACCAAAACCTGAAAGTTTAAATCATCAAAGAACTAGAATTCTTTTTGGCCACTGGAAATATTAATTTAACAAATACCTCTTCCCCTGTGCACCAAATCACAATAGAGGTAAACTGGAAATGCAAGATTTCATCAGCCATAGGAAATCCCAAACATGAAATAGTTTCTAAATGTACCTTTATCAAAATGCTATATAGGTATTGCATTATACTTTACCAGAAGGAAATAATTTTTGGTTACAAATTAAAATATACTTACTGTCAAAATCCCTTCTTCCTATAGGGAATTTAGCAGAATTTTCTTCATCTGCAGTTTCTCTTTCCTGTATTGTTTCAATATTTTGAATTTCAGCATCAGCTGGAAAAACCATGGCTCCCTTCAGTGAAAGATGAGGTAGCTGGTTTCTACCTAAGTTGATTGGCATAACAGGATTCAATAAATCATGTCTGGAACCTGTGTCCTGTTTTAAGGGAAAACAAAAGTAGCAGTTGATCTTTAAATAGTCACTTGTGTTCACTCTTTATACTTAGCAGTGCAAGTATTTTGTCTTTCAAGGTGATATTTTAAATGTAATGACCTGCATGGCATGTTTGTCTGAAATGGCTTTATGGTAAAGAAGATGATACAATGAATCTTATATTTGGTGAAGTTAAAAACTTGCTGCTGCATATAGGGACATGCTGAATGAAACATACAGGCTTTTTTCCTGACAAGTTTTGGCTACATGTGTTTCTGCAAAATCAGATTTCTTTTATTCAACTGTTCAAGTTCATATTTAAAATCTTGGAATTAGATACTTACAGTTAAAAATTTATTCTTTACTGTAGTATGCTGATATTTTTGTATATTCTCCAGGTTATTACTTTAAATTACTGTACTTGTTTACTAAAGGGCTATAAAGAATTTCTATTTTACAACTAAGCAAAAATGTAAAACTGAAAACTCACCGAAAACTTCATGTTTCTGTCACCCTCTTTGTCCAAAACACTGCTGTCCTCAGTCGTATAATGCTTCATCAAAGGTATAGCTCCTCTGTTCACAATTCTATCTCCATTTTGAAAAGTTCTTCCTAGCTTTAATGTGGTTAGCAACATACCTTCATCTTCTACGTTTTGCAGAGATTTTGAAACTGAGAGTAGAAAACCTTGAGAAAAGAGAGAGAGAATTAACACGTATGATGAGATATACATTCTTAGTTACTTAACGCTTGCATAGAAGTTAAGCAGATTTCCAATTTTAAGAAAGCTTTTCCAGTTGTAAATTAATATGTTCTCCATCTGTGCCCACTTTATATATTTTACAGATTGAATGGGAACTACTTCAATGGCTGATGAGTTCACTCTTAAAATGACTCATATTAAGGAGTAACCTTTTCTATAATCCTTTTAATCCCATGTGTTTAGAACTACTTAAACATTTCTGTAGCATGGATAATTTGTTTCTTTGTCTGTTTTTTAGAACAGCACAGATTAGTTCGTTTTGATGGAGCAGTGTAACAAGGTTCCCTGTCCATTTGTATTGTTTATAAAGCCTTACTTCCATTTAAGGCAATTTAAGCTGCTTAAGTAAGCAGGACTCTTGTAAAGGTGTGATCTAGCATAGTTTTTGGTCAAAACCGATTCACTAAAGAGTTGAAAAGCTTGACATTTAACAATAGTTTAGACTGCTACTGTATTAGAGTTGAAATAATTAATGTTCTGATGTCCATTATGACAGGCTACATTATTCAGAGCTTATGCCTAGAAATCTTTATTGATACCTAAGTAAATAGTATTTGTCTATATTTTCTTTCTGAAAATGGACCTTTCCCAGATACAAATTTAATGTAGTCAGATATGCTGGCTGAGAATGTAGAAAGAAAACTAAACTTCAGTTTTTCATTTAAAAAGTCTTTGAAGTCTACCTATTAACCTGCGGAAGGAAATGTAGGAGTTTCTGCATATTGGTTTTTTTTAACATCTGGAAAGCAAATGGTGCCATCTCAAATTTAGCTAATCTCTTAATGTCAGTGATACAAGCCACCTACTCAGTGACTGTGTACCTCCTAACTGGTTCCCATCTCTTAAATTCATGTTTGTTTCAACCTTTAGGTTAGTGCAGGGAACCAAACATCCTGCTAGTCAAGGGAAACCACTAGGAGATTGACCGAGAAGCTGACTAAGCAGGAGGAGTGCTGGTTGGTTCCCCTTTTTCCTCCATCACTCTCCGTTTTGCTTTTCCTGCTTTTTCTTTGTACTGCCGTTTTGCGTTTCCTGCTTTTTCTTTGTACGGTCATACACTAGGAACAAAATGTAAATTACTGTTAGCAAAAGTGATTTCTAACAATGGTTCTTTTTTTTTGGTACTGATTTCCTGATGGTCTTCACTAATACATACCGCTGATGTGGTATGAAGGAGGAAATCAGATTGCTATTTTGTAGTCTAGACGAGTCTATAACACATCAGTGATAGTCGCAGATAGTAAGTATACATTTTGTCTTCATACTTGTTATGAGAAGTACAAGGAGGAAATACTAGTGCTGCTGAGAGGTGTTGCATAGTCTTAGGGAAGTACAAACAGAATAATAATGAACCCTGCTGAAAAGAACATCCTCAGTCTGTGGATTAGTGTAGTATCGTTGTTTATGTAGAATGGACCAGCATTATTGGAACTGTGGTATTTTATAATCACTATTCACTGCTAAACTTCTTGGAAAAGCAGACTGCCTTGCCAAAGTAGCTTCTTGGTAAGAAGTTTCATGGGAAAATATGTCCTGCTAGACTAAGCAGATTTTGACTAAGAGACATTCGGGGTATACCTACTTTTCCCCAAATGAAGAGAGTGCATTTAATCCTTTCCAGGCAGAGCATCTCTGACAAATAGAATTATTGCTTCACATTCTTTTAATTTCCTTGCTGCAGAGCCTGTGCTTGCCTCTGGGCAATTGAAGTGGTTTCTTGTCTTTGACTTTAATTGCCTGGCTACAGAGCAGACAAATTTGAAAGTCAATTGTATATGTTTTTATCCTTCTCATCCAACCTCCCTTTGCTAATTTGTATTCTTCCCTCACGTTCACTATTCATACAGTTTTGTTCAATTAGTAAAGCAAAAGCCATGTATGCTCTGTAATGGTGCTTCACTTAACTCAGCCTAGGCAGAACAGGAGTGGCATTGACAGCAAACCTTTCTCTCTGTATGTTGGTGTAACAACAGCTGGGGACCCAGTAACTGTGTGTGGGGCAAAAGCTTCTGCTTATCTGAAGCTATAGTACCACAGGTATGTAGCATATATCACACATAGTCACACATTGTTTTACAAAGCACAGTTAAAATAACAACTGACCTGGAAAGCCCATCTACAGTGTCTATTTAGTTGTCTGCTGTTCCTTTAAGGTGATGTCTGTGGAAGAATATAAGATCAGGGCAAATTTATGGCACTGCCCCCCAGTATCCTCTACTGCTTCTTGAACTGCCTGTTAATTTTTAAGGATTATTGAAGATCTGAGGTGGTTCTAGTGATGATTAGTAGAACCTCCTAATTAGACCACAAGGAAATCAGTAGCATTTGTCTAAATTCAGTGACTTTTCTGCCTGTTGGGAGCAGTAGATAACATTTGTACATCTGCAGATGTGCAATACACTGTGTACATCTCTTCATAATGCCTTTGGGAATCCTAACACTGAGGTCTACATCTTTCCTTTTCATCCTAACTTTCAATTTTAGTAAAAATGTAAAATGTTTTAACAGATCAGCTTCCATGTATTATCATTGTTTATCAAATTGGATTTTTATTTTTCTAGTAAATAATAACTTAGTGCTGGTTACAGAGCATAAACAATTATTTTGAGAAACCTCTCTTGCTTCTACATTCTGTTTTGTTACAATGTCATATGAACTCTTAACGTCTGAAATCTGATGTGGTCTATGTAATTAAATAAAATCTAGCTGATAATGTGCCTGCAATTTGTCTCCTCCTTGTTCTGAATTTTTCTAGGAATAGGTTATGAAACAATTATAATAGTTTTATTTGGTCTTGTAACTACTGCAGTTGCCACACACAAGTGTTTGAGCCTAATGCCTGGTATTAACTGACCAATAAAACAGGAGTAACTTATATAAAGCCAAATTTTTTTTTGGTACTCTTATCAGAATTGAAAAACTTTGCAATGCAAGAGAGAGTACTTAGGCAGTCAATATATATGAACAGCTGTATTTCAGTCCTTTCTGAGTACAGCTAAAAGACATTTGTCACTAGAATCAAGAGCCACTCATTAAGGATTTGGAAAACTGATTTAAGACTAAACCTGACCTCTTCATAATGTTCTTGTTCATTTGTGTGAACCTCCAGTGGCAGAGAAAGAAATGCAGACTGTCTTCCTTATCCCTACAGAATGTAAAAGCATGGAGTTATGTGCATGAGACATAGAATCACAGAATGGTTTGGGTTGGAAGGGACCTAAAAGACCATCTAGTTCTAACCCCCCTGCCATGGGCAGGGACACCTTCCACTAGACCAGGTTGATCAAAGCCTCATCCAGCCTGGCCTTGAAGACATCCAGGGATGGGGCATCCACAATATCTCAACTTGTTCCAGTGCCTCACCATTCTCTCTGTGAAGAACTTCTTCCTGATATCCAATCTAAACCTCCCCACTTCCAATTTAAACCCGTTACCCCTTGTCCTGTTGCTACAGGCCCTTGTAAAAAGTCCCCCCCAGCACCCTTGTACCCCCTTCAGGTACTGGAAGGTGCTATAAGGTCTCCCCGGAGCCTTCTCTTCTCCAGGCTGAACAAGCCCAACTCTCTCAGCCTGTCCCCATAGCAGAGGTGCTTCAGCCCTCCGATCATCTTCGTGGCCTCCTCTGGACTCACTCCAACGGGTCTATATCCTTCTGATCTTGAGGGTTCCACAGCTGGACGCGGAACTCCAAGTGAGGTCTCACGGGAGCAGAGGGGGAGAATCCCCTCCCTTGACCTGCTGGCCACACTTGTCTGGCTACAGCCTTGTTATTTCTGCTATTCACCATTACCGTACCTATGGTTTTGGTAGTGCTGAGGTGAAACTGCAAAGTTCTTGGAAGTTCTGGACTAATGCTACTGGAACCATTACTGGATCAAGCCCTCTAAAGGGCAGTGAGTCCTATAACTGATACACAGTGATTGTAAGCATGACCATGGCTTGAATTTGGGAAGCAGCAGTTCTGTTTACAACTTTCTATCAAAGAAGTCTGGGTAAGGTAAAAGAATGTTGTTACCAATATTGTCACAACTCTTATCCATAAATTCTGCTGAAGGTGTGTTTGTGTTCCACGCGTGTCAGTACAGATTTTTTTTAGAGCGCTGAATCCTCCATTTGTATTATGAGAGCTGACATACTGCCTACAGAGGGCTAGAAGGTTGTGGTGAGTTGACCCTGGCTGGATGTTAGGTGCCCACCAAAGCTGCTCTATCCCTTCGCCTCTTCAGCTGGACAGGGGAGAGAAAGTTTTATAAAGGCTTGCAGCTTGAGATTAGGACAGGGAGGGATCATTCACCAATTACTGTCATGGGCAAAACAGACAGGAAAAAAATGTATTTCTCGCCAATCAAATCAGAGTGGAAGAGAACTAAAACCAAATCTTAAAACGCTTTCTCCCCACCCCTTGCTTCTCCCCAGGCTCAGCTTTGCTCACGATTTCTCTACTTCCTCCCCTCTGGTGGTGCAGGGGGATGGGGAATGAGGGTTCAAAACCTGCGAGAGACACACCTGCTATTCTCTCTGTTGTTTGCCATTCCAGTCCTGGATACTGACTACTCCAGTTTGTTCCTGCCATTCATACCTGAGCAGTGTGGTGTACAGAACCTTACAATATTTGTGCTCTCAATTACAGCAGTGGGTTGTTGCTGGAATGTTTGTGATTGTTATCCAAGAACTAGGAGTGATAATATGACTTAGTGACTATTGTTTCCATGCAATACTTTTCCTTTACTATTCTCTCTGCCAGCCATCTCTAGAGATTGTACCTGCTTCTGTTATATCAATTGCAATCCTGTCTTTTTCATCCCAGGCACGTGAACTTTATATATGACTGAAACATTTGTCTCGGACTGTGAGGAAGAGGAGTTGCAGGCTCTTAATCATACAGTGTCTATACTGTATTACCTTTGTCTGCAGATGAGACACTGCTACCACTGGTACTCAAAACTACAGCCAGGCACAAATTTTTCAAG